TTTGCATTTTTCAGTAGACTGACTGTGTGATGTTGGGGATGTGAAATTCCTTGAATTGACTGGATTAGAAAGATTATTGTTTAGAGTTTTAGACTTGAGGTTCATTTCCACTGGCTGTTGATAAACCTGCCTGTCACGTGAGGTGGGACAATTAGTGGACTGAAAAAGGGACTGTTAGGAGTGGGATTGTTAGGAGGGACGTGGGTCAAAATAAGGAATAAAAACTGGTCTGACACTTCGGGTGTGGAGGTGAGGGAAGAGAACATTTTAACATGGAAAAAGTTACGGGTTGTACATAGCAAAGCTGTGAATTATAATGAAGATCAGGTTCGAGCTGGACAAAGTAATCAACTTAATATATATTTTTAAGATGCTGAAATGTATAGAGCTTGATGAACGACTGAAAGCCATGGATCAAGAGATCACTGTGAACCCTCAGTTTGTGCAGAAGGTAATTGATTTAGTGTCTTTAAGAGATTCAGTGCAGTATGTGCTGCACTAAATGTCAGTATTTACAGTGTCAATGATTGCACGTTAACAATACGTGCATAAACATGTTTACAGCAAAGGGATGTGCATGTTATTTCATATGCACTTTATTTTCCTACCTGTGAACTTCAAAGAACTGTCTGTCTCAAAGGTAAACCTTCAGACCTGATTTTGAAAAGAAATAACTCTCCCTTCCAGAGTATGGGCTCTCAAGAAGATGACTCAGGGACCAAACCATCCAGTTATTCCTGAAATGAATGTTGCTCACCACTCCGCTTTCAAGTAAAAGCTTACGAAAGAATCAGGCCTGGAATGGGGCATTGAGGAGTTCAATGAAGAGAGCAGAGAGAACTGAGCTTTGCTTTTCACCTGGACATTAAGAAAATAAAAGAACACCCTTCTCAGTACTGTATAATATCAGAAATATCCTCTGCAAAGAAAAAGGAAATCTCAAAAGAAACTTAAAAGTCTGTTGTGGATTTATTTATCTTCAGATTTAACATCGTTCATGCATTAAATAATCTACCTTTTGTTTTAAAGGGTTTGAATGTTGCTGTGTTTCTGTAGCAGTCATTTTTTTTCTCTTCTGCAAAAAAAAAGTGTTATTCAGGGAGGAATACACACCAGAGCTGGTTCACTTAGAAGGTAATTACTGGGTCATTATTCTGTATTTAAAGTTGGCTCAAAGTGCAGGTTTATCATATGTATGTGGGAGGAGAGGGGTGGAGTTTAAATTCTCTATATGATGATTTGCATATGCCTGGTGGAGCTGGCTGCTAAATGATGAACTAAGAACTGTGTTTTTCCCAGAAGGATGAGCTTCTTAACCAGTCCTTGTAAGGCAGGTGTATTGAAAAGAAGAAATCACTATAGAGAATCCATGTGTGACAGCTATTTATTATTTTAAGTTTCTAGTAGGAAATGTTGCCTAATAACATTTGCTCTTAGATCAAACTTAGACCTAAACAAAAGGCTCTTTGGAAGACTGTGGTGTTCTGGAGGACTCTAGATAGGAAATTGTTTACACTGAAAAAAATTAAATAGTTGTTCTTATACAATTGGCATGAAGGTGTTCAACAGGCTAATGCTTTTCTGTGGTGGAAATCACTTAAAGTGAAGGCCATGCTATAGCTGTTTGTTTCCAAAGAACATAATTCTTCATGGAACACAAACAGAATTCTATACAGCTCTCAAAGCGGAGGATTTTATTTGGTGATAACATGCTGGGATGTTACCTGGTTTTTATTTCACTGTTTTAAACATAAAAACTGTTGCTGGATATTTTTTTTCAGTGCTTCACTCCTTGAATCCAATGGGCTCCTTAATGTTCTGTAGCTGTTGTGTACCTGAAGGTTCTCACTGTTCAAACACCTTTGAAACACTTTGTGTCAGTGCAAATCTTTTGCTATCAGGCATAAATAAACCTGTCATCAAGTCAGAATGTGAGAAGGTCAGCATTGAGTGCTTCCTCCTGAAATACCTGACTAGGAGCTGCTTGCTGCTGCTAACCTGCCAGCTTTTCTTCAGGAGACTAACTGGTAGTTAAGCATTTCTGGCTCTTTCCATGGGAATTTCTATTTCTTGAGGCCAGCCATGGTTGAAAATTTTCCAGTTGTGTTCCCAGCGTTGGTGCAGAAATGTTGGGGCTTTCACTTCAAATTTGTGCCTGAATTCTAGCAGAGCCCCTGGGACAGCAATGTGCTTTCTAGTGGAAGGGGAACATCCCCAGGTTGTTCTCCAGGTGGTGAATGATGTTTTTAAAAGTATAAAACAGCAGTTTAGTGTTGATCACAGCCTAGGTCCATAGTGTTGGTAGCTCACCACTCAGTGCTTGTGCTTCCTGTAACAGAGACTTCCAGATTTGAAGGCAACTTTTACACATGATCTTACAGCAAAATCTTGGTGGGTTTTTTTGTTTGTTTGTTTTTCATAACTTGCCTTACCAGTCTTGTAATTAGAGATATTTATGATTTTTGAAGGTGATTTGTTTGTAGGGTTTTTTTTCCTAGTTAATCCTGTAGCTTCCCTCTTTGCTACTGTGGAAGTGTTAAAATAGCAGATGAGCAACACTGTGGGCTCAAGCACAAGGCTTGGGCTGTCAAAGTGTTGACAGCCATGTGTGGCAGTCCCAGAAAAGGCTGCAAATGACTAACCCCAAACTGCCACCCCTACAAAAACATGGATGGCTCATCTTTCCTTGCCAAGGGCTCCCTTGCCAGGGGGAGAATGTATGCAGGATGCTTTTGTGAACTTGGAGCAGAACCAGAAATGTCCTTTTCACAGTGGCTGAACTTTTCATAGCACTAGATTCTATTAGTGAGCATGGACTTTTGCTGAGACCTGCAGGATGATTTTCTATCTGTGGAATCAGAAACAAACTGATAAAGCTGGCAAATAGCTGCTACATTTTCTCTTTTTTTTTTTTCCCCCTAAAGTAGATTAAATAAATCCATCCTACACCTCAAAAGGATGGTAGAAATAGCTCTGTAATAGTTCCAAATTATATAGGACACTATTTTTCTTAGTCTGATTTTTAAGAGGGCAAATGCTTTTAAAGAACTGCTGAGGTTCTTTTTCTGATGTGAATAGTTGTGCTCTTAAACTCCAGTTGCTGATGAGAATTCAAAGGTCCCACCTCTAGGATCAGTAGAGATAAAGGATTCACTGACAGTGCTTTGGGGAAGGACTTTTATCTAGTAGTTTGGTAAACACACAGTCTGGCATCTGCATCTCTTGAGATACTGATGAAATTAAGTCAGATTTTTAACGAAGTGGCTCCTTCAAGACTTGGAACTAATTGCATGGGCTGCAATGCTTTGAGAACACTCGAGCTTCCTGGTTTTAATTTGTATTTATTGCATGGAAGGACTTTTGATGTAAGAACACTGTGTGCCCTGCTCCTCCAGACTGAGCCTCCGAGGGGCCCTGTGGCCAGTTCTTCCCGCCCTGCGTGGCCACAAGATGTGTTCCCGGGCCACGGAGCGCATGCCTTGGCACCCAACTCCTGTTTTCATGCATGTGAATGAGCCGAGATACAAAACCGCAGTTCTGAAGGTAACATCAGACGTGCAACTACAGCGCTTGGCCACCGGAGGGGTCTCGAGTTCGGTTGCTACTTCAAGTATTAACACGTTTCTAAGGAGAAATGGGAGCTGTTGGTGTGCACCCACCCTCGGGTTGGTGCCACCGAGGAGCCCCTGCCAGCCCCCGGGAGCGCTGCCCTTGTGCCACGTGCTTTTGTGTAGCTCCAGCTCCCTCAACTGGCCTCCAGTACAACCGTGACCTGTTCTGTGTGTTGTCCTCTGTATAACCAGGGAGATGTTTCCTGCGAGGCCAGGCAGGCTGAGGAGGTTAGTCCTGAGAAGTTGTTTCAATGTACTATTGGAAAATAAAGATAACAAACGAGTTGTTCTTAGTTTGTCTTAAATGAGAGAGTAGGTCTTTTGTATCTGTTTTTTCCTTAGGGTTGTTTTTTTTTGGGGGGTTGTCTTTTGTTCTTGTTGCTTCTCAGGACGGGTACACTTAGTGTGGAGCAGTGTTCCCTGCTCAGGAGCTGTTCCAGCTCTGCTGGTGGCTTCTCAGAGCTCTCCTCAACTATCTGGAGGAGGAATGGGCTCCAGAGTTAGATGGCCTTGGGATCCGATGCTTCTATTCACACCTGATGTTGGTGTTACAATATTGCCCATCTCCCCACCTCAGTGTTGTTTCCTTCAGAGGTGTAATTCTCCATCTGCTTGGATCCTCAGGTGTCTATCGTGGTCTCCGTGGCAGCTGCTCCTTCTGCGGGCCGGAGGACAAGTTTTACTCACCCGAACGCCCTGCGCTGCTGCGTGCTGGGAGCCCTGATGCTTTTCTGGCGCTTTAAACGCTACAGGGGGCCCCGCTCCTGCCTGCGCTGCGAGGCTGGGGGGGGAGGGGAAGAGAGGGACCTATTTTCTATTATTTTTGAAGTCTGAAAGGACGGGACGGAGCTCAGACGGAGTTAGGGCTGCGGAGCACGCGCCGCCTCCAGGGCAGGGGCCGGTACCGAACCCGGAACCGAACCCGGAACCGAACCCGGCCCCTCGGCAGGGCCCC